TCACCCCTCTCAGCCATGCCCCAAGCCCCGCCCACCTGGACCCACCATCCAAACTTGCAGGATTTCATTTCTCTGAGTGTTTTACCTGAAATCTGCTGTATTTTGATTTGATAACTCCGAAAACAGTCAGCCAATCAGAAGAGAAGCTCAGAGCCTCCTCTCTTCTGATTGGGTCACCGACCTGTTGTTACTAGAGCTCCAGAGAGAAGCCTGAGAGAGGAGATGTAAAACTACACTGAGATGGTTTTTGGTTCTTAAACCACAAATATATCTTCTCATGGATCAACGCTTCAAATAAAACACAGGAAGTGAAAAATATGGGACCTTTAATTTCTGTGAAGCACTTTGTAAACTTTTTTTACACATAAATACACAAATAAACATATAAATATGCAGATTCTTTTATTATTAATATTATTATTATTTCTCCTTAAACCAAACATTGTCTTTCTTTCTCAGTGATAAAATACAATTTCTCCTTGCTATGTTTCAAACTGACGTCCCGCCACAAAGCGCAGAAAAATGTCTTAATTAACTTTATAGAGTCAACTTTTTTAACCTTGCTGCTGCTGCTGAAAACACCTCTGGGAGTGGTTTCAAAATAAAGTCCCACTGCAGCCTTTTATTATGAGGCACATTCAAGAAGTGATGAGTTAATATCAACAGCAGCTGCGTCCGTCAGCATTATTCCGTAGCAGCAGATGAACAGAGCAGAGCATCATGGGGCTCCTGCTGTTCCAGTGACTGTGTGAGCGACAGAGTGACGGCTGCTAGCGGGTGATAAGTAGACTAGAATATGCACAAAGTTCAGGCTGAATAAATGCAGTGAAAACATCGCCCCTAATACTTCTATTGTGCAATTTACAATTCGCTAACAATTAAAAACGACTTGTCGTCTAATGGCTGTACATCCTGACTCTCTGTTTATAGATTTTGTCCTAAAGCAGGAAACACAGTTATATAATACAAAGGTCAATCAGAGCTTGATTTGACCGTGACGAGTGAATTCTCACGCTGTGGAGAGTCGGCGCTGCGCTGGGAGAGACAGTTGAGGTCAGCGTGGACAGTCAGTGGGGAGACGGGGAGACCGTAAGCTTGTAGTTTGCAGGATTTGAGGACTCTAAGCTTTCACCACCTGACTGAGCCACTAGGATTCAATCAGACGTGGTTTTTCTTCTGGAGTTGATTGTGTTTGGAAATGAATGATGATGAGACGACTGGGAGAGTCTTTCCACGTTTGGGGAGAATTGTAAAAATCGTAAAATGCATGCAGATCTTTTTCAGAAAGATAATCTCACTCCTTCTTCTTTCTTTCTCTGTCTCTCTCTTTCTCTTGTGTGTGTCACACAGTCACAGTGTGTTGGACTCTCCTCCCATCTGGGGACAAAGCATTCAGTTTTAGGGATAAGACTTGCTTTATGCTTACGGTTAAAATTGTGTTTATATAATGTTAATGATTCAAGCCAGAGTAAGAATTGCTCCGTATATTGATGTGATGCCAAAGCAGTGTCCTGCTGTGGCAAAACAAGTGTGTGTGTGTCTGTGTGTGTGTGTGTGTCTGTGTTTTCCTTTGTGCAGGTGTATCGACAGTTTAAAACATTTGCATAATCCTCTCTGTCACTCTCTTTTCTTTTCCTGGAGAGAAACAACAGTTACAGAGACGGACAGAGAGAATGTGAGATCATATTAAAAACAGTATAACAACTAAAAAAGGTTCAACACATTCTGACAACTGAAAGTATTTATTTCAACAAAACGTTTTTATCCTGGTTTCAATACCTGTACATCCATTAGTATGATTAGTTTGCTCAACCCTGTCTCCTAGAAGTTAAATGAATATATTAATAAACTATCTTACAAATACGTTGGGTAAATAACGGAGTATAACTGAGTGTAGTGTAGTTAACAGTCGGAGACTTCTGTGACGGCCGAAGCTTCACCGTGTTCTCCCATCATCAGGTTCTTGTGAGTCTCTGTGGTTCCACACAGGAACCGAACCTCTGCTGCTCAACCACGTGACTGTGACTAACTCTGACTCACCATCACGTTCCTGTCAGAGACCAGATGAAAATCATGGCCCGAAAAAAAACTGAAATGTGCGTGTGTGTGTGTGTGTGTGTGTGTTTGTCCTGACAAGACTGACAGCTTCCTGTGTGTGTGTGTGTGTGTGTGTGTGTGTGTGTGTGTTGAAATGACAAAAGCTTTTTCCCTGTTTCCTCCGAACAGTAACGGACAAACGATTCTCACACATTCACCCGCCCATCCCATTCACACACACACACACACACACACACACACACACACACACACACACACACACACAAACACTCCTTTCCTCTGCTGTATGTTTTATGCCATTGGAGGATAAGCTGTGGACGTTGGCAGCAGACTCTCCTCTCTTTGTTCTTTCCTTTGTTTCCTGGAGCACAAACTGTTTTTCTATGCAAGTATTATTTTTATTTGAACATAAAGACACACAAACACAAACTCATCTGTTCTGGACTGGCTTCACCTCCAGTCTCCAACCAGCAAACAGTGTCTCCATCCTGGAGGAAGATCGTGAAACTGTCTGCTGCGGTGTTTTTTAGATCCTTTCTTTTCAAAGTACGCAGTCGGATGACGATTTGTTTTTGAAACACAGCTACTGTGTTTTGTCTTTAGCTAACACACTGTGCTTGAAGTGGGAGGGTACTGTAAGTTCCTGATTACCTGTAGGACCTGTTGGGTTCAATTCCAGGTCACACTTTGCATCAGGAACCAGCTGTGATGATCTGATTTGATTTTCACTTCAGGAAAATGGGGCAACGACAAAACTCCTATTGTCTCTCAGCTGCTTAGCACAGAACCTCACCTCTGTCTGAGCTGTGCGGCATGCAAACATCCGCATCAGTGTTCAGGAACATCTGTCATGTTAGTGTCAAGTTAGTACGTGATCCTACTCATTCATATAATATGTAGTTGAGAGATTTTCTAATTGCTTTCAGCTGTTTATGTCGTAGGAAACTAATGGAATAAAAATGCAGATAAATACAAGAGGGCAGCACATGTCCTGACTTCAAACTTCAGCCAAATTTAAAACAGATAAGACCAGAAAAAAGATGCTACAGAACATGAAAGCACAGAGCAGTATTTGTTTGAATGGGGTTTTTAAATGCCGACACATTGTGCTTGGAAAACAGCTCTGACTGTGTGCGCATGAAATAATACATGACATTTTATTGTAACTTCACTAGCGGAGGCTGGAAGCAACACAGATGAGCAACTTGAACATTAACATCCAGAAGAGAGAAATGAAAGTCACATTGAGGGCGGCTGAACTGCAGTTAACTTTCTAAAGCACCGCTCCAGTGGTTTAGCATGTTTTACTCACATATATTTAGCATCACAGCTAACCGTTTTGCTGTATCTTTATGATTTTTTTTGATGTTTTATTCCAGGCATCTGGTTTTCATTCATGTCTTCACAGTTGCTGCTCGATAATGCAGCTTTATTGCAGATTGATTGAAAGATTTTTTACTGCTGTACAAGTTAATGCGACATTTTTTGTGTAGATTTGATTATCCCTGTCATGGATTAGACAACTCCATCCATTTCTTCCAAGAATCTGCCATTGAGAAAAGAATGTAAATCAGTGGCGGCCTGGTGGTTTGAAAAGTGACATAATTTGCGGTTGAAGAAGTAAAACATTCAAAAACACGAGTGTGGATAAAATCTCTGACACATCTCTGTAGGTTAAACCAATCCATCAGGCTTAGATCAGTAGTATTTCTGTAAACCACTGGAGCACTGTTACACACGCCGACATAAAAAGTCAACCAGAGTTTATTATTTAACAAAATGCAATTTCAGTTATTGAAAATATTATACAGTCATACATGCTTTATAAGTGTGTGTGTGTGTGTGTGTGTGTCGCTTACTCCACATAACCTCTGGTGGTTAAAAATAACTTTAATGGATCAGTCTACCTACCTTGCGATACTTTGAATTTGATGCCGATACTTTTTATGATGAAATCCATTTTAACAAAAAGAACATTACAATACACATTACGCCAATCACCAGCATTAATAGATCTTGGTCCAAGCATGCTGCGTGCTGATTGGCTCACTGAAGCTGGTGAGATTTACTCATTTCCTCCTTAGGTAATGAAATCAAATGAGGCGTTTTCGGTCGGACCATAAAGGTACTCAGATCTGGCTTGAATATTAAAGTGGCCCCTTCAGCCTCGTTTCTATTGGGCTATTTCTTATTTTCATGAATTTAAAACTGTTCTGTGTTTGTAGCCGGTGCTTTAAAACATTACATCCACTCTTAAAATGAAGGAATAGATTCAATCAGAGCTGATGTCTCTCTTTCTTTCTCTTCTCTCTCTTTCTGTGTCCTGAGATAGATTTTGCCGACTTAGCGTTCTCACTGTGGAATGTTCTTGAAATTTGTGTGTGTGTGTGTGTGTGTGTGTGTGTGTGTGTGTGTGTGTGTGTGTGTGTTTTTGCAGCCAGGACAGTGTATCACATGCACATACACACAGCAGGACATGGACATTTGGGCTTGTTTTCTACTGAGAGAGGGAGAGAGGTGAGCGGGTAGAGAGAGCATTAACAGAGACGAGAGAGAGAGTGATTTCATAACGTGACAGACGGATGACCAGATGAGCGGAGAGGGAAGGAAAGAGAACAAGACCAGGAGACTGAAATCATAAAGATATGAAGATTATAAAGGATGGAGGGATGACGACGAACTGAATTTCACCACGTACTGTACACACATGATTCAATGCCAACAACAACGCCACTGCACGTTAAAGACTAAAAGACCAAGATAACTGTCAAAGCTGGATTTCTGTGTGTGTGTGGGTGTGTGTGTGAGTGTGTGAGTGTGTGTGTGTGTGTGGGTGTGTGTGTGGGTGTATGTTCTTTCTCACAGGAATGTTGATCTGATAATGGGATTAATGCTAAAAGCTGAAATCTCCCCTGACTGACTGTTTCTCTGTTGCTACCCAGGGTCATTCAGGACTGAAGGCATCAAGGCGTCTGATGTTCTTCCTGTGCTGAAGGAGAAAGTTGCCTTCGTGTCAGGTGGGTGTTGTAGTCAAATCACTGAACCTTGGGGTCCAGGACAGGATTTTCGAGGCCCAGTGGAGAGTGAAGCCATGACATCACGTCTGGACTGGCCTCTGCAACTCAGTGCAATCTCTCATTCAGCTTTTCTTATCGTGTTACTTTCCATATTCTACGACAAATCAACATCCACAACAGCCACTTTTTGCGATTTTCAACACAGTTATGCAAAGGCCACTTTTTGATTACAGAAAAACTACAGCTCCCATGATAAAAACTACAAGTTTTGGCAGTGTGGGTACTTACGTCTTAGTTTCATCCATGTACATAAAATTCACCAGCGCTCTCTTCTGTTGTCATCTGCTGCTGTTATTACAGACACGTCTCAACTAACCACGCCCCCTCGACTCGCTCATGGACTCGCATCTTCTGTTGAGCCGTGAAGCTCCGCCTACCAGCATCTGGGGCTTATGGGAAATAGTGTTTGTTGAAGGCTACTCAAAACATAAATAATGAGTAAACAAGATACTAGATTGTTTATCAACAAACCGTCCTTATCTAAACATATGAAGCTAGCCACAGGACATACTGTCGAGGCTCTGCTCCAGTGCTGGATTTTTAGCTATTAGAGTTGTTTTAAGTGTCAGTGGGATTTTGAATGAGTTTTTTTTATTTTTTTTTATTTTATTATTTATTATTTTTTATTATTACTTTTGGAACAGAATCTGGAAGTTCTGGTTTCACACACAAGTCAGGGAAGTTACTGAGATCACAACTAAGTGTGATGAGCCCACGTTTATCAGGACAGATCTGAAAGTGGAGCAGAACGCAGGAGTGCTATAAACTCACTGAAGTAGGCAGACCGACAGACAGGCAGGCAGGCAGACCGACAGGCAGGCAGACCGACAGGCAGGCAGACAGGCAGGCAGGCAGACAGACAGGCAGACAGGCAGACAGGCAGGCAGGCAGACCGACAGGCAGGCAGGCAGGCAGACAGACCGACAGGCAGGCAGGCAGACAGGCAGACAGGCAGACAGGCAGGCAGGCAGACCGACAGGCAGGCAGGCAGGCAGACAGACCGACAGGCAGGCAGGCAGACAGGCAGACAGGGAGACAGGCAGGCAGACAGGCAGACAGGCAGGCAGACAGGCAGACAGGCAGGCAGACAGACAGACAGACAGGCAGGCAGGCAGACTGACAGGCAGGCAGGCAGACGGCAGGCAGGCAGACAGGCAGACCGGCAGGCAGGCAGACAGACAGGCAGGCAGACAGACAGACAGACGTTTTATTAACTATCATAGATTTTGTTGAATGTCATATTTTTTCAGCTGGCTGAACTTTACTACTTTAATAGGGAACATCTACATTTTCAGTTTTTGGTGGAAACCCAGCGATGGCCATAAACCAGCTTAATTTATGCAACATTACATTACAGTGATGCATTACATTACATTTTAGTTTGATTAATTCTCCTAACAGATGGCTGTGATATGAGCTCATCAATGCTGCAAACTGTTTTTTTTGTTTTTTGTTTTTTTTCCAGAGTCATAGAAGTGCAGAGTTGTGCAAATTATCATGAGCAGCGTTATTGGATTGTTTTGATTTGTTGGTGAGCTGATTGGATCTTTATTAGCTCACCGCCATGAAAATATGCTTTTAAAAGTTATTTATCGTTGTATTATTCCAAAACATTGAGTCAGCAAGGTGCATTTCCTACAGCAGCTGAGTGATCGTGATAAAGTCTCAGCTGAAGTGTTTTGTGATTTACTCTTGGACCAAAATCTTTGGAGTCATAAAGCTAAGATTGACACACCTTATTTTTAGGGTTAGGGTTAGTTTCTCTTACATCTGCCAGCTTGGAGCTATTTTTAGCTTTGGGGTGTTTTGTTAATACGGCCTTAGATCTCTAACTTGTCAGTGCACCTCCCACCAATGGTCTGGGGACCCTTCTGTCAAACTCAAGGTCAGCGGCCTCATCCAAGACAGAGAGAAGTCTGCATACAGATGGGAGGTGGAACAGTTCTCCCCCTAGTGTTGTCAAATCAACTTGAAGCTGAACACTGTGGATATGACAGTGGACGCCCCCACCCCCCCACCCCCACACACACACACGCACAAACATACACACACAGATCCCACTCAATCGTACTGTGACAGCCATAGAAACCTTCAGGACTGCAGAAAAGATCATTGATGCGGACCAGGAACTGCTCACCTCCTGAGTCAGGAAACAGGCAGGGAAAATCATCACAGGCCCTTCACACCCTGAGCATGACTTATGTGAACTTCTCCCCCATGACCGGCGCTACACATCACTGTGGGCCAAAACAAGCAGGGAGAGCAGACACAGGAGCGAATTCACCCCACAGGCCGTCACACTCAGCCATGAGATGTATTTAGAATCTGCACAAACAAGAAGTTGACCAATCAAAAATGGGTCCTGAAATATTGAAAACCTAAATTTCTTACTACAAAAAGCTGCTGTGAATTAAGAGTCCAAGCACAGGTTGCAAAAATACATAAATACAAAGTACACACGAGCATAAGCCTCAGTGTTTTTGTGCTATTATTTTGAAACTTGTGTCCCCCTGCTTGTATTGTCATCTCTACAGAGAGACCAAAGCTAAAACGGTCTCAGGGAAAACTACGTGAATCCAATCTCTTAAATTATTATTGAAAAAGAGACCAGATCAGAAAGGGACTGCTCAGATCCAGAATCTGGTCTCACCTGGTCTCTAGGAACCAGGTAAACCCATGATGCTGTTATAAAGTTGTACTATAAGGCGTTTAATAGTGAACTTTTTGAAAAATTTTGAAATGCTCAGCTTAATTACACATTAATGTAATATATAATAATTAAGGAGTATATTAAACTCTATGTACTTGCACTATAACATAAGATTTAAGTGCTGTTTTTCATTATTTGATCAGTTTTAGTAGTGTTTGAGTTCTGGTTCTTTCTCGCTCTACTGTAGTAATGTGCACCAGTGAAAAAGTAACTCTGAATGAGAAAGAGAGAATGGGAGAGAGACCTAGAGAAAAGAAAAGGAAGGGAGAGAGAGAGAGAGAGAGAGAGAGAGAGTCACAACAGCAATCAGTCATCAAGATTCCTCCTCAGATTACAGCAGTGCACTTCCTCCCAAATCACACACTTAAACGCACACACACAGACCGATTTTCCACGTCTGAGTAGCAGTTTCATAAACAGTGTGATTTGTGTTTCTTACATTAATCTAACCAAAACATCTCCACACACATAATTTATCACAGAGAGGGAGAGGGAGAGAGTTTGTGTTTCAGAGGCTGTGGAAAGTCTGCGGACCCACAGACGTAGCTGTGCTGGGACTTATGTTACTGATACGGAGATATTAAAGCTATTAGAGGAGAATGATGTGCAGATTAACACTGATGTGGGTTTTTTTGGTGATAATGAAGAGATAGCGGTTCTAGTGTAGAGTAATATCTGCTCTAACAGTTCTTTAATGGTTACCTCATTGACTTTGTGTCTGTATTTTGTTCTTACTTTAATGCTATAATATAATATCTGTTGCTACTACTACTGCTTTATCTTCAGTTACTAGTAGTAGAATCCACTACACTAGTAGAAGTAGTAGTAGCAGTAATAGCTTATAACTTGTACTACTACTTTTACAACTTCTACCACAACTACTGCTACCACCACAGCTGCTGGTACTGATGCTGCTCTGTTACTAGTAGTGCTAGTACTGCTGATGCTACAACTACTTCTAATAGTACTATTACTGCTAATACTTCTATTGCCATAACTACTACTCTATTGCACCTGCTTCTGCCAGTGCTACTAGTAGTATTACTAAAACTACTGCTACTACTACTACTTCCTCTACAGCTGCTGCTAGTCCTGCTACTACCATACTGCTGCTACTACAAAGTTTAATACTACTAGTACTATACTACAACTACTACTGCTGCTCTTCATTGTAAGGAATGTCTCTGAAAGGCTCTGTGTCAGTTTCTTCATGCTAATATCTCAGGCTGTGAGTACACCAACAGTACTCTAGTAGGATAAGTTCATCGTTGGTTTTGGCCTTAATATGGGATTTGTTGACAATAATAGGAACGGCTGTTAAACACAACGTATGTGGCATCATTAGACATCATACTAATCATTTGTTTGCATGTGTGAACACAGGTGGGCGAGACAAAAGAGGAGGACCAATCCTGACGTTTCCTGCCAGGAGTAACCACGACCGAATAAAACAGGAAGACCTGAGGAGGCTGGTAACCTACCTGTCTACTGTTCCCAGGTACACACATTCCCGTCACACACAAACACATATGTGTTTGTAAAATGTTCATACTTAGTTTTATATTATATTTTATCACATTTACAGTTACTATTTATCGTTGTTATCTTCTTATTCAGAGTTGTGCTTCAGGACAATTACACTTGGTGAATTAGACTTAATTGTGACAGATACTTGAAGGAAGAAGTTGAGGATAGAGTGCATGTGGAGTGCCTCAGTGCTGTCCACACTGCGAAATCAAACGCTCCTTTCTTCTCCATCGCAGCAACAGATGGAGAGCAGCGTTTGATTTGCATCAGCATGAAAGCTGCAGTGTTTGCAGCAGACAGCAGCGAGTCTGTCACACTTAACTTCAGGTCCATTTATTCCTCTGGCCCCTCATCACAGTGTGAGGACGTTACCAGGGATGAGCTGGTCCAGAGAAACACCAGTCCCTGTGACTCTCTAAATGTGTCCGTTGTTAACACAGATTCTCTTTTTAAAACTATTTTAAGTGGTGTAATGAAATGAAAGGAAATTAGCCTGAGATCATCTGTAGAAAATTTAGTGGCTTTATTTTTTAGTTTTGTTCAAAAACAGACCCAAAAACTCCTCTGGTGGTGCATTCAAGGACGCCCTGACATCAAGAATTGATAGTCATCTGCTAAAAAGCATTGCACTGATAAGCTCTTTTATAAGAAAATCAAATACAAAAACACACATAAATCACTGAATGTGAAATAGTGTGTAAATAAAAGAGTGTCCTTGAACGCCACAAGAGGGAGAGTTTTCGGTGTAGTCTGTCCTTGGTGCTGCATTGAGTGACTGATGTGCATGTTAACACATTTACCTGGCTGATTAGAAAAACATTGTCATTGAACCAAACTAGCCCAAACCCTGTCTTATCATTCAGTCCCCATCAGTCCCGCTCTGCTTCTTCCTGCTAATCGAGCTGCTGTTTCCATGGTGACGAGTGGAGTTTGTGCTTCCCTGAGGCAGATTATAATGGATGTGCTGTAGTTAAATGTATATTAATAGAGGCTGGGTGTGAGTGTTTGTGGAGGTGAGGTAATTTCAGTATATTTTTACTCCCCAATCAGCATCAGCTGAATTGATGGCCCATTATACTCCAGCATACACAGCTGGCACTGCACTGGTTTCTGAGCAGCAACTGGTCAGCGGGAAATATCTGTTTAGCTACAAGTGTTGTCCTACTTCATGTTCAGTGTTGTTTTGACTAAACTCTTCAAACTTAATTGCTGCGGTGATTGACTCCCTAATCTAAATGTTCCCCTTTCTCCAATTTATTTGTTTGTATATTTCAAGCTAATTAACCGTCTGGAAGGAATTCAGGTGTCTTCATATGTTATTTATTTACATACATGTGAATGTGGCCAAAAACAGATCTGAAAATATGTATTTTAATTTTTTTACCCTGCTTTCAGGTTAGCAGTACATGTCTGATCTGTGCCGTCATGTGAAAACAATCATTACTGAATTAATTTTATAAAGTCTATTTAAGTGTTAAAGGATTAGTTCTTCACTTTGGGAAATGCGCTTATTCAGTTCCTTGCTGCGAGATGAGAAAATTGATAGCGCCACTTGTGTGAAGTAAATATAAGGCTATAACAAGGAGCCAGTTAGCTTAGTTTAGCTTAGCACAAAGGCTGTAAACAGAAGCAGTAGAAACTTCAGGAAATCAATGCTCCAGGCAAAGGAGTAGTCTGGTACACAACCCCCAATAAATGCGCTCTTTATGTTCTTTACACACTTCGCTTTTGAAACAGATTAAACAAATTAGATATAACATGTTAATTGTTGATCTTTGGAGGTGAAGGTTGTGTTTTTCTTTTTCAGGCTAGCTGTTTCCCTCTGTTTCCTGTCTTGACTGAAAGCTAAGCTGACTGTGTCCTTGTTGTAGATTTATACGTACATGAGACGTTTCCCAAAATGTAGTATATCTCCAAAGATGAAGTTTCCAGGCTCATCATTTGTCAGAGACAGACAGTATTTATGAGGGGTTGGAATTTATTAGTCCAGTGCAGATAATTAATCAACTTCTACTAAGATGTGTGACATTGAACGTGACTTTGAGACCTAAATATTGTTTGGAAAGTAAAAATCCCTTCACTGGAGTAGGGAGACCGTTTATGAGCTGCTCAGTGATGGAGGATGGCACCATGAGTGGTCTAACAACACATTGTAGCTCTGACGGTTAAAAGGTTCCCTTATAAATGCCAAAGCAGTTTTATTTTTAAGTCAGCATGGTGATTCATATGTCCCCCTCTCCTGCAGGTTCTTCTGTAATTACTGTGGCTATGTTACTCAGGCACACAGGGGGAATACTGGAATTGAATTCCCTCTGGAAAAGAGGAAAAAAAGCATCAGGTTTTCATGTGGCTCTGAGTGAACTAGCTCTTAATCTTTTAATTAGACAAACAAAGCATTGCTAAACTTCTGCATTTGCTTTTGTGCCAAACGTTTTGATCTCATTCAGGCTACTTTGAAGTGTGCAGCAGTTTTTCTTTCTTATTACCTGTATCTCATTAGCATTGTTGTGGGTCTACTTTTCTTCTACCATTTCCTCTTAACCTCGCATCTCTGCTGTATATTCTGTCTCTCCCACCAGTGAGGATGTATGTAAACGTGGTTTCACTGTTATCATCGACATGCGTGGGTCTAAGTGGGAACTGATCAAGCCTCTGCTGAAGACACTGCAGGAGTTTTTCCCAGCTGAGATCTGTGTGGCGCTCATCATCAAACCGGACAACTTCTGGCAGAAACAGAAAACTAACTTTGGCAGCGCAAAGTTCTCCTTTGAGGTCAGTGGGCTTTGTTTTCTTCGAGTGTGAGTGTTTCGGCCAAAACATAGTCTCATTTTGTTTTCACTGTGAAAGGACTGTATGCTAAAGCAGGAAGTAAACATAATAATGTCATCTGTGAGTCCCATAAAATATTTTTTGTTTAGGTTAGTCCCAGTTTGCACCTCTCATGTACAGTACGTTTTTGAGAAAGACTAATCCCCATCTCTGTTTTGTAATGGGTTTGGCTAAGGTGAGCTAACGGTTCTACCCATAAAACTGCAGCTAAAGGTTCAAGTTTGATTCAAGAAAAAGAAAGTAATGGTTTGGTTTAGCAGATGAAACGTTGAGTTCACTTCACTTTGGCAGGTATTTAATTGAGGTTAATTGGCTTCGTGCTACATTTTTCAAATAAAATAGTTTGGGTCAGGTTAGCTAACGGCTAAATTTCACAAATAACATCGTTTGGTTCAGGTTAGCTAACGGCTAAATTTCGCAGGTAAAATTATTTGGTTCAAGTTAGCTAACGGCTAAATTTCACAAGTAACATCGTTTGGTTCAGGTTAGCTAACGACTAAATTTCGCAGGTGAAATTATTTGGTTCAGGTTAGCTAACGGCTAAATTTCACAAGTAACAATGTTTGGATCAGGTTAGCTCACGTCTAAATGCTGCTGGTAAAATTGTTTGGTTCATGTTAGCTAACTGCTGAATTTCGAAGGTAAAATTCTGTGGTTCAGATTAGCTAACAGCTTAATTTTGCAGGTATAATATTTTGATGCCGGTTAGCTAACGGCTAATGTTTGCAGGGAGAACAATTTGGCTCAATGATAGCTAATCGTTCAGTTTGATAGGTAAAAAATGTTTGGTTTGGGTTGACGGTTGCAGGTGAAACTGGTTGACACACGTTAGCTAAGGCTTCAGTTCAGTACCTAAAAGTGTGTGGTTTGGGTTAGCTAACAGTTTAGTTAAGCAGCTGAAACGGTTTGGTTCAGAGACAGGTGCACGATCAAAATGTAGAATACCAGTAATTAACTACCTAAAGCATGTATTTTTGATATTCCTCTTGGATTTCTGTTTGGGTGCACCAGACCAGCATGGTGTCAGTTGAAGGTCTGGCCAAACTGGTGGATCCCTCCCAGCTGACAGACGACTTTGAGGGCTCTTTGGACTACAACCATGAGGAGTGGATGGAGCTGAGAGTCTCTTTGGAAGAGTTCATGGCCAATGCTGTTCACCTTCTGTCCAGACTGGAGGACCTGCAGGTGGGGGATGGACAGATGAATGGGCAGATAGATTAATTGCTCATCGGGGAAATAAATTGATGGATGGCTTAAAAGGATTAAATGAGCCATGCTTCCCAAAAAAGTAAACTTGTACTGTGTGTTGCAGGAACTTCTTTCAAAGAAGGAGTTTCCTGCAGATGTGGAGGGATCTCGTCGGTTGATAGAGGAGCACACACAGCTTAAGAAAAAGGTGAGAAAGCTACTGTCAGGATAGTCTGATACAAAATGCAGAAACATCTAAAGAAATAAACATTCGCTGGCCTGAAGTTAGCGGATCTCTGTGTTAGCCATTGGAGTTCTCTCAAGTTGGAATCATGTCAAGCCATTAAAGTAAGTTTTTATTCTTTCTTTTCCTCCTCTTCTGTAGGTGCTGAAGGCTCCAGTGGAGGAGTTGGACCGCGAAGGCCAGAGGTTGCTGCAGTGTATCCGATCTAGTGATGGTTTTTCAGGGAGGAACTGCATCTCTGGCTCTGCAGACTTTCAGAGCCTGGTTCCCAAGGTAATTCACCTATCCCTGAGAAGTTCACTCCAGCTGGGAGTATAACTGGCCATATTTCCGATCCACACTGAAAAATCATATTTTATCTGCAATACAGTAGGAAAAAAAAGGCCCTAGCCCGGAGAGAAAAAAACAGTGAGACAACTGAAATCTTCTTGATTGTGAAAAAATACAGTGATTTATTATTACTTTCTGATGCACATACACCAACAAAAGTGTACACAGAACAAATGACAAATGTCAGAGTTTATGTGCCAAAACAGGCAGATAGGTAAGCAGCGTGTTTCAAGCTTAGTGTTCCCCCTCAATAGGGTGTGGCATGACATGAGCTCACTTGAGTCAGCCTACATGACATAAACAGCCACCAGTAAAATACTGTTTAAATAGCAAGTATTTAAAAATTAGGATTATAATGTTAGAACAGAGCACAAACTAGAGACGCATACATCATCTGTACTAAACATTGTTTTATACTGATGCTTTCAGGCCTGTTGTCAGATATACGAAGGAAATGGTTACCTTCAAGTAGACACTTTCATACACACAGAGCTAATTTGACCCTTTGACTGTCACAGAATATTAACATCAAAGACAGATTTTTTTTTTAACAATTTTTACCAATTATGAAGATGAATCTTGATGATTTCATTAAGTGATGCTCCTAACAAAATTCAGCATATTTCATCATTACAGCCTGTGAACACTAAAAGTATGCTGCACCATAAGTGATGATTAAATGCATACTTTCATGTTTTTTCTCACCGAGCCAAAGCCCACAGCTCACAGTACAGCTAATGAGAAGTACTCGCTGCATGTTAGCTCATTAACTGAGGGGCTCTGCAGGGAGGGTTGTGTAAGAACACAGTGAGTTTCTTAGCACATGAAGTACATACACTGTACATTGCAAACAGAAGATTGCATTTATATTAATATTTGTGGCTTAAAAATAGATGTAGTACTTAGCACTTACACATGTCTCCTACTGCACTGAAGCTTTAGTGTTGTCCCTCACTTGAGAGTCGCTTTGGATAAAAGCGTCTGCCAAATGAGTCAATGTAAAATAAACATTAGATGTTGGATTTAGGGACCATTAGACAAGCTGTCCAACCATTAACTATGACATTTTTAAAGAAAGCAATAGAACCTCAAGTCTATGTAACCAGTTGAACTCCAAATGCCTAAGACATTATAAGAAACATGATCTAACTCCAAACAAATCTAATTCCTAATTCTTGCCTTTTGCCAGGTGGCCAGTCTGCTGGATAAGCTCCACTCCACGAGGCAGCATCTCCATCAAATGTGGCACGTCAGGAAGCTGAAGCTGGACCAGTGCTTTCAGCTCCGCCTCTTCGAACAGGACGCTGAGAAGGTGAGTCACACCTGAGCCTGATGTCACCAAATGAGCAGGAATCATCACTAAGGGGTGCAATAAGAGAAAATGCAACAAGTGTAATAAATGTGTTGTATATTGTAATGGCTGTATAAGATGTGATAAATCAAGAACTTGATAAAAGGAATGGATTGTGTGTAAAACAAAGACGTCATTCCTGCCAGAGCATAAAAATATAGATTAAACTCAAAAGGTAGATTAACTCAACACTTGAATGTTGCATCGTTGGAGCTGCTTCACAATAAAAGTCCCCCAATGATACTTTCATAAATCAGATTGCCACAGGAATATGTTGGGCAGGGGAAGTGTTGAGTTAGTCATCATGAGCGAATGCTCTGATCATTAAAAGCTGTGCTAAATATTTGCTTTTGTTGATGGATCAGCCGTTCTGTTTACTGAGTCATCATGTTGTCATAAAAGGGTGGAATGTAAAAATAGACTGAGAGGCAAGAAAGTCGAAGAACATAATATTTGTTAAAAGTTTGTGTGCAAAAATAACATAATCAACACAAATCATCTGCTTTGGTTCAGTATAATAATATGATCCTCAGTTTGAAATTACAGGGCAGAGGCACATCTAGTATTTCCTCTTCATTCCTTCATTCCTGCATTTTCATCTTCAGATCCATCCAGGATTTGTACTTCTGTACAGTTTTCTTTCCTCTAGGACAGTATCACACAGTATATTTTATTCACTGCCCTTTACACATCTGTGTCACTGTATATGTTTCCGGAAACTTCTTGGCAGTCCGGATAAATTAGCCTTTAGCATTTATCTAAACAGAGGAACACAGTTACCAGTTAATCCAGTGGAAAATCAGCCAGCATTGCTTCACTTCCATCAGCTAAGTGATTAGCTGTGGTTGTGAGTGAATGTTTGGATTCCATTCATCATTAACATACCAGCCTGTTTACAACAACATGCAAAACTACTCCAGTTTCATTCCAAAAGGCTATATATGGGAAGATCACGCTCTCTGATATGAAGGGATCAGTTAAAGTAATATGGAAAAATACAGAAAATGCCTGCTGAGGATTACTGCAGACTGATGTGTGAGATTGTTGACATCTGCACAGCTAATAAATAACAATACACCCTGGTGACAAAGCTTACAGTTTTAAAGATGAGCGGATGCAAAACTACCAGTTGTCATGGCGATGATACTGTATGATGACCAAAGTCATATACATGGATCCAGGATGGCGGAACCATGTCAACTTGTCTCTTCCTAACAGAGCTTTATGTTGTTTGGTAGTATCACAAGTGTTGTTGATGGGAGTGCAGCTTGTACTGTCACACACACACAAACACACACGCATGCACAGACAGGCAGGCGTCAGCTGACTCGGTGCGTTGTTCCACATTGAAATCCACATGCAGGAGCAGTAAATATTTGCTGTAAAGCAAACAGAGAAAAATCAGAAAACCATTTTGCCCACGTCAGCGTTGTCACGCTGAGGAGCTGTGGGGGTGAGCGGATGAGTTTACACTGTGGGAAACACTCACCTCTCGCAGTCGAGCCAGGGAAACAGTCAGACCTGATGAGGTGTTCGTTGTGTGGAAAACACTCCTAGAGAAATGACTGTGTAGATGTCGTGGTAACCATGGTAATCACGCAGGGCCACCCCCAGCCTCCATCTGTCTGCAAAGATTGATTCATTGCTTCATGGAGAAGCAAGCGTGAAGTTGGTCCTGGCCTATTAGGCTTTACACTGATAAGCTGGTAAAGATGAAGCCAACAACAACAGAAAATGATGTTGGTGTTTTTCAAAGGAATATTCCTTTGTTTTTTTTACAGTCTGGGCCATGTTTATATAGTTTGGCCACAATTTCTCTCAGTTATTGTGACGTTTTGCTCACTTCCTTTGTTGTAGACACACAAGATTAGTCAGGGCAGCTGCTTGAAAATGTGTTTCATAATGTGTGAAGCCCTCTGATCAAAAACAATCATGCAAGGATTCAGTCAAAGAATGAAATATAGTTTAACGCGTCACTAATTGCCAGTAACTGTGTTTATTAATGACATAGTCAAGATCAATTGAATGACTCTTCTCTACATGCAGAAAAAAGTTTTATTTTAGTGTGAAAGCTCATTCTTGACGTTAGAAACAGTCATTTGACAAAGAAATGTGAGTTGAATGTCCACATACTGGTTTTTTCACAGATTTCAACTTCAAAAACTGTAAGTGAACTTTGAGTTTACGGTTTGTCAGACAACAGTGTTTAAGTTTAAGAAATCCTTTCAAATTGATCAAGTGGTCTTTCACATGTGCTCTCATGGCTGCGTGTGCTCGCAGTGATAGAAAGGATTAATGTGTGAAGTAGTTTCAGATGTTATTTATGTTGCTGTGTGTGGTGTTTGTGTAGATGTTTGACTGGATCAGCCACAACAAGGAAGTGTTCCTGCAGAGCCACACAGAGATTGGCCGAGGTTACCAACATGCTGTGGAGCTGCAGACTCAACACAACCACTTTGCCATGAACTCCATGGTAGATAACACTTCCACATTACATCACTGTACATCACTGCATGACAGCAGAGGTTACCAGTATGATCAACACACAGTCAGATCTGCAAGTGTTAACTACACTCAGAATGAATGAAGCAAATACTAATACTAAACAAATCTGTATAATACAAAGTAGTAAGGCATAATTGATCAGTTTTAAATATTTAAATAATTTTAAAGTTTTCTTGACACAGTATTTTATACTAGATGTTAACTATAATTTGATGCAGTTATAGTGATGACAGTCAGACCAACAGAATCAGTCAGTTGGTTACAAAAAGCATGTTGTTAATGGTTTTTCCTTCTTCCCAGAATGCCTATGTAAACATCAACAGAATCATGTCAGTGGCGAGCCGACTGGCTGAGGCCGGTCACTACGCCTCCACACAGATAAAACAGATCTCAGGTCAGCTGGATCAGGACTGGAAAAGTTTTGCTGCTGCACTCGATGAGCGCTCCACCATCCTGGCTATGTCATCTGTCTTTCACCAGAAGGCTGAACAGGTGAGATCATGAGCAGAGCTTGACCTCTGAACTTTGCTGGCAGCAAAGTTTACACGAGGTGGAACCACATTGGCCATTATTGCAGAAATAAAAGCTGATACTCGCTCTTCCTAACCTGATGTAAGGACTTCTCTGCCATTAGAGGAGAAGCTGTTCCACTTAATGTGAGGCTGCTGTTGTTTGGTTGCTGATCTGGTGTCTGTCTGATCTAGGAGTCTCTCTGCAGCAGACACATGTCCAGAATGTAAATGTAAATGGGACATTTTTAGTGTCTGATTATATTTAATAGATCAAACTGCTCTACTGCTGATTCTTGGAAGGTTGACATGGCAACAGATGGGACTTGTTTGATTCCTGCTGGGCTTTTGACATTAGCTACAAGTGTACATTTGAAAGAGCAGGAGATGAAACAGGAAAAGCAAGAGTGGCGAGGGCAGAGAAGGGATTGGCTGAGACTGAGGAAGAGAAACAGGAAAACAAGAAAGTGTCAGGAGATGAAACACAAGATGAGGAAAGGGAGACCAGCTTAAGAAAGTTGGCAAGACTACAGAGAGAGTAAATGGGAGAAGAGAGTAAATGAGAAAGATTTAGAGAGAGAGAGAGAAGTGAAGGTTGTCTTCATTTTTGCAGCCACATTAACCCTGTTAATAAATTATTTCAAAACTACAGCAACAAGACTAAAGATGTAAAACCCTGCTAGTCTTCTAGAGTTTGCAGGGTTTTTTTTCGTTTATTCCTCACACTCATACACTCAGTTGTCAGTTTTTTTCAGCTTAAACTAATAGAGTCCAATACAGTGGTCCTGCAATGAATCCTCCTTCATGAAGGTTATAATGCTCTGTTTTGTTGAAACAGTGTTAAAGAGGTGTTGATTCAACTGTATGATCATTTTTGCAGTGCTATGAACTGTACTACATTATACAAAGAGGTGTGTCTGTTGTTTAGCCTACCTTCATTGATTTGAATGCAGTGGACGAAATAATGGAAACTCCTTTTAGCATAATGCAATGTAGTTCAAGAGCACCGCAGACTAACAGCCTCCAAACGAACCATATAGCTGAATCAACACAGTTTCAACAAAAATGTGCACTGAAACCTTCCTGAAGGGAGGACCATTGTATTAGACTGCATTAGTTTTAATTAGGTGTACTTAATAAACTAAGAAAATTATGCTAAGGGAGACACTACATAATAAAGGAAGGCACATTGTAAAAGCAAATACAAGAATTTATAAAACAATAAATCATTTTGCATATCAGGTGACATTGTTTTGCATTTTTGAGAGAAGGGATCTTGAGGAAAGGAGATTAACACAGATACAATGCACCCAAGGGGATGCAGATGTCATGGCAGTCTAACCAGTAGTTGATGAAATATTTTTCTCTGGACCAAAGTGGATTGGATGGATAGACAGATCACATGACTGGCCAAGCAACATCACCATCCTTTGGACCAAAACTCAGAAATGTGAGGGTAGATATCACATTGTGAAAGGGTGAAAGCAGATAAGAATGTAAAGAGTTGTTAGAAATCAGCAGCTGTAATGTGAATACAACTCTACATGGCATTGTACAAGATTTTCTAAGCGTTTTTCCATGTGTTCTTAGTCTTGTTAGGTTCATTTTCATATGAATACACACTTTGTATGAATTTCTGTATGTGTCTATGTCGCCTTCTCAGTTCCTGTCGGAGGTGGAGGCCTGGTGTAAAGTCTGCAGTGAGGGAGGGTTACCGTCTGAGATGCAGGAGCTGGAGCTCGCCATCCACCGCCACCAGAGCCTTTATGAGCAGGTCACCCAGGCTTACACCGAGGTAAACCAAAATATGTCAGAATGTGGTATGTAGGACAACATGGCTGTAGCATCTGTGATGTCTTTCAAAATTGAACCTATGAAATGTGGAGTTTCAGTTTACTGCTCACAACCATCTCCACCATTGTTTACAAAACACTCTTCACTTTTCTCCATTATAAATATGTATTTCCCAGCATGCTTCAGGGGCCAGTTTCCAGTGTCTGATGTAGGAGAGCTCCAACTTGTGTCTGATGTTTGTTATTGTGAAAGTGACTGTTAAGAAAGACAGTTATATCAATTATAATACCATTTCTGTTGGCAGCACTGTGCATGTCTCTATGACTCCAGAGTACAGAGTCTCTCCTTTGTGCTGTTAAGTGCTGCTCTGTGGCAGCTCAGTGAGGCTTGCTGTGATTGGCTGTGATGACAGGGTGGCGTTGATCAGCTGGTGCGCTGCCACCGTCCATATCCGCTGTCTGAAAACCCTCCGTGTTCCACTAAATTTAGTCCTGGAACACTCCGGCTCTTCTCTGCTCTTTGCTGCAGTCTGAAGTTTTATCTTTAGACGGGCTGTTGCAGTGTTAGCTCAATTCATGCTTATCTGTGGAAAGATAAGTCCAAATATATACACGCACACACAAAGCCCTGGGCAGAGGCTCAGACTGAGGCAGTTAGGCTTGGCAAGCTACGACAGCATTGTTTCCTGTCAGAGTGCTGCAAAAAGTGACACGCTCACAGACTTGCAAGGGTTTTTATCTTGTGCTCTTGACTTGATGCATCTGTTTAATGAGTTAAAAGGACAGCGCTGAGAGAGTTGCCTGAGGGGTTCGCTGAGGTCACCAATTAAAGTGACACAAACTGTAAGCAGAAGCTCGTCTTGTTTGTAACATCACATTCTCTATTTTGTTAAATAATAAGACAACACACATTTTGGAATCATTAACGTCAAAGAAGATGAAAGAGCAGGTGTTTTCTGCCGTGTGTGTGTGTGTGTGTGTGTGAGAGAGAGAGTAAAAGCGTGCTGAAGCTGTTCTTTGCTTGGTTGCTTTAAGTGAGACAGGAACTGAAATCACTTGTGAAAAAGAACAAATTCCCTCCTGCAGCTTTGGATTCTACCTCCTGATAACGGCAGTAACAAGCACCGCCTTGGTGTAGAATCATCTTTACAATCAACACATGGGAAAACTACTTCTTAGCTTGTGCATCATCAAAAACAGTACTGCTGAAAACAACTAGTTGACTAGTTGTCAGACAGTAGTGTGTATTTCATAAAATGCACACACATGGACCTGCAGGATGTTTCAACCTGCCCACAACAACTGAAATAACGATCTCTCTAACAGTATCTTGAAAGTTCATCATCCTTTTTTGATGATCTTCACTGATAAAATCGTTTGTCACTGGTCTCATTTCTTGCAGAAAGAAAACGAGTCGCTGCTTGTATGTGATGCAGAGGTTTCAGTGGTGTGTTTCCATGTATAATTTAGCAATTAGCAGTAGGATGTGAAATGCTGATTTAGAAAGCATATATTTGTTTTGGAGAGGAGAGAGAACAAAGAGAGGGGAGAAGCAGAAAAACATAAAATCCTTGAACTCTGCTTGTTTTTTTGTCTTCCCTTCAGTCTGTCTTCATCTACCTGTTCTTTCTTTCTGTCTGTCTATCTGTGTAGCCTTTCTAATCTCTGTGTGACCTACCTGTCTGTCTTTCCAGGTAAGTCAGGACGGTAAAGCCCTATTGGATGTCCTCCAGAGGCCTCTGAGCCCCGGCAACTCTGATTCGCTGACAGCCACCGCCAATTACTCCAAAGCGGTCAGTGCCATTATGTTAGTTTGTGCTGTCAGGGCTTTTTTACTAGCCACATACAAAAGATTAAATAAAAATCTAATACAATGCATGAAAAATGTCACTATCTAGTTAACATTTGTGTTACTTTGCAGGTTCACTGCATCCTTGATGTGGTTCACGAGGTTCTGCACCATCAGCGGCGTCTGGAGAATATTTGGCAGCATCGAAAGGTCCGACTGCACCAAAGGCTGCAGCTGTGTGTGTTCCAGCAAGACGTCCAGCAGGTACACACACATGCACAAAGCACACAACAAGCAAGTGAAATGAAAACATTAGGAGTGTGCTGGCTAGAGAGAAGTCCAAAAGACAGAGTGGAAGAGTGAGAATATATTGTTGATATTGGATGTAAACTTTGGTTTCTACAGAATGCCAGGTTTTTGTGGAACTTAGAAAAACACAATTCTAACAGTTTATTGCAGTTTTCAGTTTTATGTAACCATGAGGTCAGAGAATTTTCTTGAACCACAGTGGAGCATGTAATCTTGTATGTAAGCATGTAATCAAGTGAACAGACAGTAGTGATGTGTGTATGTATGTTGAATTTTGCTCCATGGAACAGATGAGAATTGCCGCAGTGTGTTCATTCTTCTCGGCAGTCTCCTCGTCCCAGCTGAAGAGTGTAATGCGAAAATTCCTGAGATAAAACGCTGAGAGCGGATCTCTGCTCCGCTGGTACCGCTGCTCATATTTCACAGACAAGCAGACGATGTGGGTTTGGAGAGGTGTCAGCGCAGATTCCTGGATGTTTTAGAGATATTCAGGAGCTCAAAATTTAATATCGCAGCTATATTTTATGAGGAGTATTTTTAACCAGCAGAGTGTATGTCATCATTGTGGTAGGCAGAGGTCTTGAGTATTATTTTACTTTCTTTAATGTGATTGTGGGTCTGACAGTAATGCAGTAGGAGTGAGGTACAACCAAATACCACTGGCATTACTGAAAACCCTGGCATCTCAGCTTAGACTCCACATGTGCACTCACTGACAATTTTTTCTTTTTCCCAAAATCATGAACATAACAGTACAGTAACAAGTACGCACAGTGACACTGATGCAAAGCAGCTGAAATCAGGCCCTGGCAATGTCATCCATCTGCAGAGTTGCTGCACTGAAGTTCCAGTTCAAGCTGTATCACCTCTAGGCAAAACAAGGAACAGCAGAAACAGTTAGGATCCGCAGATGTTGATGTGTTCCATCTGCAGGCAAAGAAAGTAACAGATAAGTTATGCAATTTGTTTGAAATAGGAAAACTCCAGCACACGAGAGAACTATGTCAATCCAGTCTACTGGTGACTCAATAAAAACAAAAATAGCATGTTGGTTGGACAAAACAAGACATGAACAAACAAGACTGGGAGCTTGTGACGGCAAATTTCCATGATTCTCTGACATTTTATTGACTAACAATGAAATGATGATTTGAAAAGGAGATCGAAAATGAAAAGAGTAATTAGTTGCAGCCTTAATGTAGTCATATAATCATTTAGTGTTGTTTCAGTCGTCAGGCCTCCCTCATTTTCATTGAAATAAGAGATTAGCTTCGTTTGTTGGCACAATTGAAATTCTGTCTTTAAATGCTGATAATTTAAGTTTCTAAAGGCTAACAACCTCAAATTGATATTTATGCCAAAGAATATAAATTGCAGGTTTTATGGTGTACTGGTATTAGCTCAGCGGTGTTGAGAGAAACAGAAGTCATAGAGAGAGCAGTACTTGTAGCAGCAGTAGCAGTTGTTTGTGACACTAATAGTAGTTGTAGCAGCAGGAGAACAGAACCATACAGACTCCAATACAGCGTCTCCACGCTCACACCATGCTGCTGCTATTACCATTTTTTTGGTGGTCACGTTCAGTAGTGCGCACACACACACACACACACACACACACACACACACACACACACACACACACACACACACACACACACGATAACTAACAAAAGCACATTGAATTAATTTCAGAGAGGGCTATTGTAAGTAAGAAAGAGAGAATTAGGGCACCAAGCATCAGCCATGCAAACTTTTATATGTGACCCACGAGAGAGTGTTTAAGAGATGTAAAAAGAAGAAGACAGAGAAAAATAGCGAGTGAAAAAGAGATTGTATCAGTAGGTTATAAATTAATTGAAAACAGAGCTTTACCAACTGTACCCGTCATGCATCAGTTTCTATGAGACCCTAGAGAGAGAGAGACGCAGAGACACACACAGACTCACAGTGGGCAAGAGACATACATAGTAACTGAGACGAGGAGCAAGTGAGAGAGTATGCTCATACCAATAGTCTATAAATCACTGAAAACAGGGCTATTCCAACCAGAGCTGTAATGCTACAGGATATATGCGACCCCAGAGAGGAAGAGAGAGAGATGCAGAAGTGAAGGCAGAAAGAGAACATAGTAGGTGAATAGTTTTATTTGGCAGTTTTAGTTGCACATTCAAACAAAGACAGTCCAGCTGCAGTCAGCATGCTTCAGCTTGTGTATGTTATGCCCTTACACTGACCTCTCTGTGGCTCCAGCTGGACCGAGTACACTATACTAACGTCATGAATTACAACACTGGCCATCCATACACACTGTTCATTCAAGGCCCAAAAGCCTTTTCTTGTAGATGTAGTGATGTGTTAATGTGTTCTGCCAAACGCAATGTTGGAACAGGGGTTATTGTCAAGAGAGTAAATTTTCAAATTTGAAGCTTGATCAGCTGCTTTTAGCTACACTCAAGGGGGTTGTTGAGGTCAAACCAAAATATGTATTCACATTTTATAGCAGTTTTCAATGTGACACAGATGTCAAACTATGTCAGCAGAAAAATATGTGTACACTTTACAGAAAGAGAAAAGTGGGAAAGTTTTATGTAAAGAATATATTAAGATTTTTTTTTCATATATTTGCCATAGAACATAGTTGGTCAAGGAGACAAGGTAACAATGCAGAAGGAGCATGTATGAAATGACAGGAAATCTGCAGCTCCCCTCATTTTTACGGAGCGTTACAGTGAGTGTCAGATCATCGTGTAGCTCATTGTCCGGCCCACAACTTTGCTGTTTTGTTTCACTCTCACAGGTCTCACAGTGTGATCTTCAGCTGTAGCCGGCAGCTGTTTTCAGAGAAAAAGCACTTAAAATCATCTCAGCTGGTTGGCTAATGTTTGTCACAGGGTTGTCACAGGGTTTTTTATTAATTCACCTGGTTTTATTCAGAGTATGTGAACGTGCGGCCTCACCGCTGAAGTGGTATGTGCAGGTGTGTGTGGAGGCTTTGGAGGTGTTAATGCATCGTTGTCGGAGGTGGGCTGAGTAAAAAAAGAAGGAAATGTAACTACCTACTTTTGCTGTTGAGTAATTGAGTTATAATGGAATTACTTTTTTTAAATTAATAACCTGTAATGAGTTATTGATTTCATGCAAGTAACTTGTCCAACAATCATCATAACATACTTCCTGGCACTGGCTGTTTAAGAGATGTGAAGTTGTGTATACCCCCTTTAAGATTATGCTGTCCTTTTCTGTAAGATAAATCGAGCTAATGTATAAGCCTAGCTTATAGCTATGTTTGACATCATGCTGCAGATTCATGGGCAAATATTTACATTTCCCTGCACACATAATTGCACAATTAGCCTAAAGTTGACCTACAGGGAAATTAGTCAATCAAATCCACATTAAAAAATACTAATTAATAGTTCTGGATTGTCGAAATAAAGTGCAATTTGCATCACAGTGTCCTTTAAGGGTTTCTGAAAATGTAATCATCAGTGGCAGAAAACACTACAAAAGAATGGTATAATGAAGAATATAAGCAAATAATGACCAAAAAAGGAAGCAAATATTTAGCAAATAAACAACAAAGCAAGGCACCTCCACCGCCTGCCAGTCGTCTCCAAAGCACGCCGATGCTCAGGTTTTGGCCAAGAGTCACAGAATATTCAACCTCCTGTTCTTCGCAGCTGCAGTGACCTACATTTCAGATCATGAAGGTTTCATCTGATCCATTTTTAATTCATTATGTCTGAGACCATTTTGTACTGCTGATCTGTATGTACACTGTCAGAAAAAAGGGTGCAGCGCCAGGAACACTCGGCTCAGCAGGTGACCTTTAATCCTGAGTGTTTGCTAGAGAGATGATCTGACGATGATCACTGTGTGCTCTCTCATCCAGGTGATGGACTGGATAGAAAACCATGGCGAGGCTTTCCTCAGCAAACACACTGGTGTTGGGAAATCCCTTCACAGAGCCCGAGCCCTGCAGAAGAGACACGACGACTTTGAAGACGTAGCTCAGGTGAGTCCGTCTGTCTGCGTGGGTTTCCACACAAGTATTGTTATGAAAAGTATGAAACACCAAACACCACAATGATCAATATTCTTCCAATAGAAACAGTTTTTGAGTTTTGTCTCCTCGAGTGCTGCTTCTCTATGTTTATGTCTTTACACTGTGAGCAAAACTGTAACTGATATGTTTTACTTCAACAGTAAATCAGTTACACCTGTATCCTCTTATGCTGTTATGGTTTCAATATATTGCAGTTGAATTTCTGAATGCATACTTGTAACTGAAAGTTTGTCCCAAAATAAAAATTGCGTCACTCTAAGCTTATGGAGTTCAGGAGTTGGTCAGCGGAGGTCCATGTCCATAGAAAAGATCCACTACCATGAAAATGTTAAAGTGATTTTTCTGTTTTTTTATTAAATGTTTTTTCGCCCGCCTTGTAAGCATCTGTAAGTAATCTGCCTTGATTAATCCCAAATTTTCATAACCACCATGTCTGGTGGTGGCAGGAAGCATGAAGATATGCTTCTACATAACCATTTATGGTTACAAGCCTTTCCTGAAAAATCTGCAGGAGATGTTATCCATTCCTGAATTTCACTGCTGCAGCCTGTTATGTAAGAAACACTGGAACTGAGGGTTTGAACGTAAAGATGAAAACAAAGAAGCACGTTGAAGCTCTCGGTAGATGTTTGGAAAATGTGAGCAAATACGTGTCTTGTGTGTACGGACAATGCTGCAGAAGAAATGCTTTAGGTGATGGGCTTTGAAGTGGATGGACAAAGTAAAAAATGATGTTTTCTCCACTGTAGTTGTCAGTTGTCTGAAATGATTTGTTATTAAGTCATGTAAGTTCTCGGATAGCAGATGTGTGCGTGTGTGCTGTAGAGCAGTGCTTCGAAAACCAAACAAACACGAGAATGTCCAACAATATCTTATGCTCTTCCTCTGCTTTCCTTCCTCATCTCATCGTTCTCTTCGTCTTGCTTTCATTTTTCTATCTTGTCGTATCGAGCTGAAATCCCTCCACCTTTCCAAGCTCACCTCAGCTCACCACTGTGTTTCCTCTTGAGGCTTTCTCAACAAATTGAGTGATTTTTAGTTCCTGAAAAAAGCATAATGTCATATATGACGTCCAATCCAGTCTCAAATCAAATAACAATAAAACAGGTGTCTACTCAGAATCCATGGTAGTTAATAAATCATTTTCTCACTTTGGTCGGTGGAGTTTCAGTAAAGTGATAATCCTATAAAACAGTGAATGTTAATCCTATAAATAGTGTGGTTGTGTAATCTGATGTTTACACTCTGGATTAGGATTAACCTTCATAACCTGCTGTGGATCAGCATTATTTGGGTCAGACTCTCTCTCACTCTGTTTTTTTCTCTGCTTTTTTCCCCATTAGCATTTCTGCGCAATTTGTGGTGTTTTGCTGGTAAAACTCTCCTCTTAGGAATATACATAACATTATTACATTTTGTACACATTTAAGATACATGCCAAGACATGAATACGTTAGTAAGTTTACCCACATTAAACTTTGACTGTCTCCCTCACATGCAAGTGAGTGTTTGTGTCTTTGTTTTTATGTAAGGAAGAACATGAGTGTCCATTTCAACTGAGCTGTTTGTATGTAGTGAGCTGTTTCACTGGGTGAGCTTTCATGTCCTTTTTACCATCTACTGCTATTTTACCTTCAGCTCCCCTCATCTACATCTGATTATCTGCTTCTCCAGTCGAACCAACCGAACATGAAACAGAATGACTTAATGAAAACCCAGAACTCATTTACTCTCATTAAAACTGTAATTCTCCAGCTTCTTCTCACTTCCTTAAAATTTAATTTCCCCAGGGAGGGTTGACACTGCTCCACCTGCTCCACCTCCAACATTTGTAGGTTGACAGGGAGGTCAGACAGTTACATTTTGTCAAGATATGGAAACCATGGTTTCTCTGGTTATTGCATTGACACAGTCTGGAAAACATTAGTGTGTTTGGAAATGCAATGAAAACTACAAAGCTTAGCTCTTTTGTTGTTGTCGTGGTAAATGGTTTGTAGCTCGTGCTTTTTTAGGTCATTGCTTCGGTTTTCGCGCTGTGTCATTACGAAGGGGCTGAATTATTGAAAGGTGTTTTCTGGGTGGTTTCTTGGGTTTTTGCAGGTCATTTTTAAGACTATTACAGTGTGGTCATGAGAGTATTGGTTGGTGGTTGCTGAGGTTTTTTGGGTGGTTGCTGGAGTGATAGGGACAGTTGCTGGGTTCTTCTGCATTGTTACTAGCTGTTTGCTTGGGTGTTGAAGCCTTGTTAAGGCATCGCTAGGTGGTTGCTATTGTGTTATAAATGGTTTCAGTGATGTTGTTCTGTGATGATAAGGTGTTTTGGTTGTTTGTCATGCTGCCACTGGTGTTTATTAGAGCCCAACTGATACAGGATTTTATGGCAAATGCTGATTTTCATATTTCAGGGTTTAAAAAAAATCTGATAACAATACATTGTCTGATACGCACAACCTGGACACTACAGTCACGAGATGAGCCGACTGGGCTGGAGCTAGCTGGTTAGCATGCTAACTTCAGTAAAGGAAAAAATGACCAGAGGATCCAGCTCTTGGCAAGTAAAGGAATGAAGTTTGATGATGAACCTACAATGTTCTAGTTAACTGCTGTTAGTGAGTAGAAAGCTGTCAATGCTAACATTGGCTATGTAGCAATAGCAAAATTTATGAACCTTTAATGATATATTTTTTATCAATCTCTCAGTTTGTTCATTCAGTTTATTTACTAAGTTGTCCTCATTCATTTACTTCTCCATTTTTATTTTCCGTTTCATTCATACATTCATTCATTTCTGTCCTAAAAAGTAAAAATTTGGCTTCTGTGTTCAGGTGACAGGGATGATTCTGCATTCCTGTCATCTCCCTGCTGTAATCCTCACCCAGAACCAAACCAGTCATGCAGCAAAGACTAATAATCTCTTGTAAATTATAATCTTTATCCTCTAAGTAATCCTTCTAACATATCATCTGAAATATCCATGCTGTAAGCTTTCACCCATATATCCCAACTCATTCCTGAATAATTGGATTCATAATGTAACATATTTTTCTCACTGTAGTACCACACCCCGACCTCCTTTAACCCCAAAATATGTCAGACGTGCTGTATTTCCTCGTGTGAAATATTCCAATGATAATCTCTCATACTTACTAGAATAGACCAACACTAAGCCAGTTTGTCCTGCTGAATGCTCAGAGCTTTAACACTCAGATGGGATTTGGTCCCTTTTTTTTTTTTTAGGGAGACAAAGGTAGATACAGGAAATGTTTTGATGTTGATTTACAGAAAATGGAATTAACATTTTAATACCACATGATCTGTGTGTGGGTGTGTGTGTGTGTGTGTGTGTGTGTGTGTGAGTAGAAGAACAGTAACATAAAAGAGAAGAAATATATAATGAATAATGGAAAAATGATGATGATGATGATGAAGCTAATAGCTAATGGTGATGATAGATAATTATAAATGTAAGAACAGTGAAGAGGATGACAGTGGTGATGAAGATCATAGTGACGATAAAGAAGCTAATGACTAAAAATGTGAGAGTAATGATAACATTTATAATGTCCTCTTTACAGATTGTGAAGTGATAGTTATAATGATCACGATGATGTAAGTGAAATACATGACAAGAAGTCCTGATCTATGAGAGGCCAACAACACTGTGATTCTTCACATTATCTTTTCAAAGTCTAATGTTTTTTTAATTTTAAGCCTCCTTGGATTATATTATCACTCATACCAATGCACTTAGAAAAGACTTAGTTAGTTGTCACTTAACCAGAGTTTGATCAGTTTCACATGAGAGATGATCGGTAATGTGGCCTGAAACAGAGGAGCTGTTCCTATAGAAGGTGCCAGTTACAAAGATGTGTTTCCATGGCCATTATATAAGACCAAGTAAATCCAGATATTGATAATGTTGTTGGTCATGCTGTTGATGATAATGAAGTCCCTTTCTTTTTTCAGAACACATACACTAATGCTGACAAACTGCTGGAGGCGGCTGAGCAGCTGGCTCAGACTGGAGAGTGCGACCCAGAGGAAATCTACAAGGCAGCCAGACATCTGGAGGTCCGAATCCAGGACTTTGTCCGGCGGGTCGAACACAGGAAGCTGCTGCTCGACATGTCTGTCTCCTTCCACACGCACACCAAGGAGGTGGGGCAACCAAACACATGCAAACTCAAGAAGGAACACATTCTCAGACATCCTGCTGCTACCAGCGAGATTCACCTGAATTAATTCTAAATTTCATCAATAACCACAAACGCTCTGACATGGGTTAAGTGTGTAATTACAGGTTTTTAGTCCCAAAAGGACAAACAGTTTCCCCTGCCACAATTAGTGGCACAGCAGTCTGTCTTGTAAGTGGTATTATTTTAAGCATCCCCTCCAGGATACAGCAATATTTAGGTGGTTAAGCAGAAGGAAAGTTCTGTGGTAATGGATTCATTACATTTACTAACCTACCTGTCTCTCTGCCCCTCTACCTGTCTGTGTGTCCAGCTGTGGTCGTGGATGGAGGAGCTGCAGAAGCAGCTCTTGGACGATGTGTGCTGCGACTCAGTAGACTCAGTTCAGACTCTGATCCAGCAGTTTCAGCAGCAGCAGACGGCCACGCTGGAGGCAACGCTCAATGTTATTAAAGAAGGAGAGGAATTAATACAGCAGCTCAGGTAATACTAAAATTTTTATCATAATTCATGATGGGGTTTTGAGAGGAAGAAAAATCAATAATGAAGCTCAGGTAATGATATTAATATTTATAATGTTATTAAATGGAGAGAAGGATTTATACAGCAGCTCAGGTAATAAATTTCACACTTAAATCATCATTAGAAAGTCAAATTCATACAGCTGCTCAGGTATGATTATGAATAATAATTAGCATTCTGGCACATAAATATGACAGATTTTTTCTTTTGGGAAATTGCACATTGTCTCATCTCGCCTCCTGTCTCCACTTTCTGTCTGTCTGTGTTTGTCCTCTTACTCTTTTTTCTGAAATAAAATAATGTGAAGGAAAGTGCTTGGATGTAATTGCCAGCTTGAGTATGAATACTGGTTAGTTGACATATTATCTGTAAGTTTATCCCCATTCTCTTTGAGACGGTAGAATGGAATTAAAAAGTCAAAAACTAGTAAGCTCTAGTTTGTCATGTTTTTTTTGTATTTCACAATAGTTTCAAATAAATAATGAGGTAAATGATTTTAAATAAATATTTTCATTCAAACCTGAAAACACCTTTAAAATCATGTCCACAACTAAACAGTATACGTGCCTACGTTGTTTAATTTTCTTGCCTCTTTTCCTGAAAACATCTCTCTCAAAAAAGAGATGTGTCAAAATGGGATTCTGTTGTCAGGAAGGTCTTACTCTGTGTCTCTTCCCACAGAGATGCAGCCATGTCAACCAATAAGACGCCACACTGCAGTTCCATTGCACATATCCAGGGGGTGCTGCAGCAGCTGGACGAGGCCCAAGGACAGATGGAGGAACTGTTCCACGAACGCAAAATCAAGCTCGATATCTTTCTCCAGTTGCGCATCTTTGAGCAGTACACTATAGAGGTTAGTGAGGGAGAGTGTGTGTTTGGTCAGTATCAAAGTGGACATACAGAACTCAGCAGGTACTTAAGCTTATTTTGGCAGATATACTGCTGATTTTTAAAGTGCAGCTCATTGGGAGCTGCATAGCTCTGCTCTGGGGCCCTGACGCACCAGTCTGACCTCCTCAGAAGTGCCACTGACAAAGGCAGACTGAGCGATGCATTGCCTCTCATTGCTTCACATCTTCTGTTACGTGCCTTAGCACTTAAACACACCAAAGACAACAGCCGAAGCTAATGACCTTCGGCCTGTTATTTTCTCAAAATACAAAGTAAGAATGTGTTTTTTAAAAGTTGCATCTGTCACTGCAAAGTTCAAATTTTTCTAGTTTTACAGTTCAGTTTTCAGCCTGGGGTCTTTTGCATGTGGACAAAGGGAAGAACTAGTCAGAGCTCTCTCTAACTGACTGCCTCCACTGTTGATTCAACATGTTCATTCAGGCCAACAGCCACTGATAAGAGCTAATTAGAGCTGGCAGTGATAGACACACCAGATAAAGCAACAATGGCCCATTGCCACCTGATGGTGGTGAAATGTGTAGTTAAATGTCTCTCCACCCAACATCTTCTGATCCCTTGTTTCTTCTGTTCCTGTAGGTGACAGCAGAGTTGGACGCTTGGAACGAGGATCTGTCTCGTCAGTTGAACGACGCCAGCCGCTCGGGCGGGAGCAGCAGTGGCAGCAGCGGCACTTCCTCTGGCAGCGCAGAGGACATCGGCCTGGCTGAGCAGCGGCTGAAACGACACGCAGAGAGGAAGGCAGCCATGAATAACATGACCTATGAAGTGATGCAGCAGGGTCAAGACCTGCACCAGTACATTATGGAGGTTCAGGCTTCAGGTAAAACACACACAAAAGCTTTTACTCCATCACAATTACAATGAAAATGGGAGGAGAAGGAGTGAGGAGGTAGATTAACACGGATACAAACGATTGAAGCAAAGAACGTATAAACCTGTGGTGTGCTTTAAAATTAGGTTCTCAGCTCCCGGAAATAATTTCCCACCATACCCTTGTGTTCTGTTTTGGACTGGAGTTCACACCTGGCATCATTTTGCGTCTAAAATGCCTCCCAAGAGCTTTTTAACAGAAACATTACATGCATGCCAAGAAGCCAGAAACTAGTCACTACGTACACTACAAATATTCTTTTCAGGGATGCATTCACATTCACACTGCACTCAGTTGTTCTCATGTGTGTCCCTGATTCCCTCTGAATGTGCCTGAGCAGGCTCACATCTGGATTTACAGCTGCCCACTCTACAGTAAAGGAGAGAGGGAACTCTGATGCTTTGGCAGCACCGTGAACTGTGATCCCAAAGCATGTTGTGTGGAACAGAGAGAGAATTAGGTTAAAAAATTGTCACAGCACAATCCTCTTACTGTGTGTATATTTGTGCTGAGGTCTCTGCTTCAGTCACTTTGCCCCCCGGAGTGATAAATCTCTCTCACACAAAAAACACACTCACTGTCTCTAGCAGCGCCAGTTACTGGAGAAGAAAGGCATTGTTAGCTCTCTGATCACAGACTGAGTATAGAGACACACACTTCTCTTTTATTAAAAGCTTGAACTAGTCAGACATCTGCAGCTCAAACATAATAATCAGCTGCAGAAATCTGTAATATTACAAGATTAAATGATCGATATTGAATGATGCCAGGAAGCAAAGAGGCATTCATTCAGTGTACAGTATTACATCTTTTATAACTAAATCAGAAATCCTCCACTTAAATTACAGTAGTTCCCACCAGTATTTAACAAGCATGACTGCTTAGTTAGGGATCATGATTTGATTCACATGCAAGTAAGTTTAAGTTTAAATTACACCCATACAGAAAATGTAATGCAAAAGTGTTTGTGTATGTTTGTCAGGGATCGAACTGACAGGGGAGAAGGACATGGACTTGGCCTCTCAGGTTCAGGAGCTGCTGGAGTTCCTCCATGAGAAGCAGCAGGAGGTGGAGCTCAACGCACAGCACACGCACACACGGCTGGAGCAGATCCTGCAGCTACGCCATCTACAGGCCGAGGTTAAACAGGTAAACACATGGGAACGCGAGCACCGGGCTGCTTTCGAATCATTCTTCTTTACCATCCTGTAATTACTTATTTATATATTTATATCATTCCCATAGAAACAACTTATTAGGGGACATTTTAAACACTGTGGTGGTGCAAAGCAGGAGGAGTGGTGGCTGGTTCTAGCAAATAAAACTTCAAATGCATTTTTCTAAACCCTTTCATAAAAAGTATTTTAGCAAAAAAAATAAATAAATGAATACAAATATCCTGTTGTACAGTGTATGTTGAACGTTATGCATATTGCATGTCAGTGCTATCATACTGGACAGTAGGGTCACTTTTAAGAAAACTACATTTATCTACAAAATATCCTGAGCATTATTCTGATCCTGAGCCCGAGAAGACGAGAAAACTACATCCTAAAAAGGAAATAATATGGAGCTTTAATGGAGAAAGGTGGACTTGCTTTTATTATTAGAAACAAAAGAAATCATATTTGGAAAGACTCCTCCGTTTTGGAGAAATGACAAGAATAACACCCAGCTCTTCCCTCTTCCTGCCCAGTAAAGCAAATGTTTTGTGTTTTTCTGGAGAAACTAGTGCAGATGTGAATGTGAACATGCTGTGTGTTGAGACAGGAAGCACACGGCTGCTGCAGATGGATATGACTGAATAATTTATGAGGTTTATGGCAACATGCTAATAACACACACATACACACACACACAAACACAAAAACAAGCACACACTCTCAGTCCACTCTTTCTCTGTCCTGTAGAACTTGCCTGATCATGGATCTACTGCGAAACCAATATTTCCCTTCAGCCACAGTTCAGTGAAATGCAGAAAGTAGTTCCAATGATTGTGGGCAATGTAGGTCAAGTGTGGAATAATAATATATTGTATGTAATGCATGACAAAGATGCAAATAAACCCGCACAGGCACAGTGACCAAGAATTTCTTGAATGTAAATCAGTGTCAGCTCTCTGCTAGTAGGTTTGACTGTTAACACACACTCCAAAAGAAATCATAAACATTATATTGAATTGTCCTGTTTAGTTGTTCACAAATAAAAGTAAAC